TGAGATTGCCTAAGGGATTCAGATCAAAATATATTGATGTTTCAGAACGGTCTAGTCAAAGTGCAGAACAAATCTCTGCTAGGAATTGAAAGCCCTCTCCATCCAATATGAACTTGATCCATTTAGTAAAATCAAAAGTTTTTCAAGAGGTGCAAACCAGGTGGAAAGATGATTCTGACCAGGTTGGGGAATTTCATGCAACTCTTTTCAGAAAACTTTCTGTTACTTCACAATATACATGACTTTATGTTGGCTTAGCATGTAAAATCTCAGTAAAATACTGAAGTTGTAATGTGGCAAAATATGAAAAGGTTCAGGGGGTGTGAGTACTTTTTGAGGCACTGCAAGAATAATTTCTTGTTGTTTACTCTACTCATAAATAGACGATTAATAAAGAAAAATACAGTGTGAAAACTTATGCATCCTGAAAGAAGAGGAAGATGTGAAGCAGGATTTGTAATGAAGCAAGCATCAGTCAACATGACGATGAGTAAATTAGAAAAGGTGGAAACCACCAGGAAAACAAAAAAGCAGGGAAAATGACTGCGAATTGCAGAGCAGGGAGGGAAGAAAGGAGGCGTGGATAGTCGCTGGCAGAGGGAGAGGAAAGTGTAACTTGAAACTCTGAAACGTACCCGTGCGCTCTCAGAGATTACAGTGTACGATCGATGCTCTGTCTGGTTTTCATGCTATTTAGAGAAGGCAAAGAAATCGGATAGATTCCATTAATTATCCATTACAAAAACAAGATTCCATTAATTATCCATTACAAAAACAAATCAACATTATAACAAACATCAATAAGTAGAAAAAAGACATAAAATCAAACAAAAGTCCATTCAATCCGTCTGATGACAGCTGACTGGTGGGGCGTTCTTCCTGATAAGCAGCAGTGAATAAACTCTTTATGTGCAGCCTTGCAGCTGATCTGGGGGACCGAGCAGCAAGAGGCGTGTTTACATACTAATACGTGCTGAAACCAACCCTCTGGTACTTCCTGTTCTTCTCAAAAAAAGTACATTTAAAGATGAATGGCCCGCCTCCCCTGCGGTAATAACATCCAGAGTACACATACTACAAATACGGCACGTACTGGGTGGGTGTGTGCAAACATGCACAGATCATCTGTCCTTTTAAGGCAAATATTCAAAGACTGCAGAACTAAACTGTACTTCATGCTAAGCAAAGCAATCATCTCGATAATTTTAATATATGCTGACATCATTCTGAGCTGCTCACCCTGTATAGGAAGTTGCTCTTTGGAAGTGAGTTTGACAGCTGCCGTGTGTAAACCAGGTCTTTCAGGTAGTTGCAGACTTCTTTAGCAGAGTCGCACAGAAGAGGCGAGATGAAGTGTTCCTCGTCTTCATCGTCGTCGCTGGCGTTGGCGTCGCTGAGCGAGCGAGCCCGGTGTTTGATGCCGTTTCTCTGAGCGGAGGGCCTCTGGGCGCTGCCCTCCTCCTCCATGCTGAACATCAGGTCGTCATCCATGATGCCTGCTGCAGAGAGGCCAGTATAAATGTGTTTGACATGCAGGGAGAAGAGATGCTGCACTGAACTTTGTCACATCAGGACCACGCATGGAGGGAAAGAAGTTTCTCCATTATCCGCTCTGCACTTAAAATATAAAATCCTAATAAGTGCGTGTTCTGAGGTTTATCATTGTGTTGCTGCACAAATTAATGACAATAATTTAGCATAGTTCAGAATTCTGTGTATTTTTTTATTGTGATTTGATCTGCTTTAAAGGACCAGAACAAATAAAAGAGGAAAATGTGCTGCATGTTTTGAATCTGATTTCACTTTAACTCAGTAAAAATGTATTGAAAGACCCAGTTTAGTGGGAAACCTTAGTTTTGGTGATTCTAATGAATAGGGAACAGAGATTATCCAGGATTTAATCAGATTTTCCCCAATTAGAACCAATCTAGGGGGAAAATCGGTTTCTGTCAGATTGATTGGTGCATCTCCAGCAGGCAGCCATCTTATTATAAGGGCAAAACAACTCTAGACTCTGCAGAAACTGCATGCTACGCATAAATGCGGTGGTCATTACAGAGGTGGCAGCATATTACAAATGGTTCTCTTCAATGAGACAAGGAGCATGCACTCACGTTTATGAACGGTATTTACATTCCTGAACAATCAGCTTGTTGTCAAACCAACGGTTAACAATGCAAACCCCGAAATACTTTGCCTGTTGACTAATGTCACACAATCCCGCAGTTATTATTGTCAGCATTAAATTGAATTGCCATGCTAATTTTGCTCCATGCTGTCAAATTCACGAAATAAAATGACAAACCTTACAACTGGGAGCACATAAGACTTCTTCTGTAGGGATTATTACAGTGGCAGATCAACCAGCCTTCCTGTTCTTCCTTCCTCAAAGGTTCTCGTTAGCAAACAGATACAGAAGATCTCATGAGCAGCGATTTATAATCTCCTCCCATAACAAAGCGCGTGTTTACAGGTTCTCCGTTGAAACCTGAAGGTCCGAGGACGTGTCTTGCGCCGCCGTTGGATGCAAAGCCTCCACCACGACGAGGTTCCTGCGCACGTACCACACCATAATGTTCTTTTACAGTGGCCACGCCCCCTGCGTTCCTGCCGCGTTCGGGTGCTGTCGGAAATATGGCCTCTGTCAGAATTTTTGAAGATTTCTGAAAACAAACCGGAACCGAGACGCGGAGCAACCGCGTAAACTCGACAGTTTTAATCACGCGAACATGCATTGTACCAAACCCGGACAGAATAAAAACAAAATGGTAGCTTTTACGGTATAAGAGCGATCAAGAGAACACCATGTTCCAGTGCAAGACTCGTGATAAACAGGGAGTGCAGCCAGTTACTGTCCAACCCCACCAGGAAATGTTCGTTACTTACTGTACAGAATAGCTGCAGCAATGTTTGCAGTCATTCCTGACAAAACTCCCTCTTTGGGAAAGCAGATCATTTGAATCGGCTGCTGTTACATAAGGCGTATTTATATAATAACAGAAGCTATATTTAGAGAGGATGCAAATTAATCATAAAGGCGATTTTCAGAAAAAAAGAAGAAGCAAATAACAGCTTCAATGGGCTTTATGAAGAGTAGTGATCACTCCAAGTGTTAAATTTGAACATAGAGTATTTATTGTACGTCCTTTGCAGTCTTGAAATTCCAAATACCAATAGTTAACTGGATAATTAATACTGGGGAGAATCTCTGAGTACATACTCTAATCAATCAGTCAATCAATCAGTCAATTAGTCAACAAACAGTTGAATGATTTAACGTCACCATGAACTCTTACATTACTTAGTGTACACATGAGAAAAGGCAGCAGAATAAATAAAGCTCTTGTGTAAACATGTCCCTAAAACATACATTTCAAGGCTACATAGCAAATTAATTTACATACATTAAACATTTTTCAACTCCTTGTCCATATTGTTTGAGTTTTACTCCCTTTACAGAAATACTCGTTTCTGTAAACTACTTGCTTTAAAGTAGTTTCAGTTTTGAAATCATATTTCCTTCTGTTTTTTCAACCTGATCATAAAGCCAAAAGGTATAACTAAGAGGCCATTCATTTTTAATTCCAGTTAAATGTTGTTATTTCTTCACAGGCACACGTTTCCTCTTTTTCCAAATTGCTGTGGTTCATTTTAGTCAGTCTGATCTGCTTTGGATCAGAAAAATATCAGTAGTTTGCAAAACACAATAATTATGACTCAAGGTTTAATTCAGCTGCTGCTGAACTGTAGAGATTTTTTTTCCCTTTGGTGGTTCACTATGTAAATAAGACCTTTTATTTACTGCAGCGACCACCAAATGAAAACAATAATCTCAAAAGATTCACGAAAACGTTTTATGATCAGGTAAACGCTGTGTACCATTAAAACAGGAGGTCATTTTGTAGAAAAAACTTTGAGGAATTATATGTTCTGGTACAGTTTTATACAGTAGAGAGAGGCGAATGTGGCGGGAAAGGTAGCGTGGCCGAGTGGTCTAAGGCGCTGGATTTAGGCTCCAGTCATTTCGATGGCGTGGGTTCGAATCCCACCGCTGCCAGAACTTTTGTCATAAATTCATAACAATGTGTTGGTTTTTGTGCCATCTCACGAGATTGTGTACTGCTACTGAATAATATACTATATTCTGTGTTTGAGCTTTTGCTTACTATAGCATACTGTACTATACTACTTTCTCGCATCAAGTGTTAGAGCCATCTAGTGGCCTTGTGTTAAATGGAAAGTAAAGTATGTTTTGAAGGTGAACATATGTCCACATAGAGAGTGATTTAACTTTGGCACAAATCATTCAGATACCGAATAGTTTATGTAAATATAGTTTATATTTTGTAATCATCCAGTGCCTTGCACAATCAACCCAAAGGAAAAATAGTAAAATAAAAGTAAGTTATTATACAAATTTTTTATTATACTTGCAAAGTGAATATATTCAATCCCTTTAGTATAATACTCGAAATAAAATCCAGTTCAGTGAATTGTCTTCAAAAACCTCTGAGGGAGGATAATTAGAGGCACAGCACTCCCCAAGTCTGACCTTCACAAAGAAAGCAACAAAGTGGAGGAATATACTTTGGTTAGATAAAACCAAATTTAGTTGTTAATGCTACTATTTATATGGTATTTATAATAATAAAAGAAAAAACCTTCAAAATGCAAGTGGCTGTGTTTTGAGTATCTGGTGCTCACATGTCAACAAACTCTGGAATGAATTATAAAGCAATTTCTATTTTATTTCTATTGAGCTGATTTACTTAAAAGGAAATTATTCCAGCAAATCCTCTTCTTTTAGCCAACAAATCTTACAGATATGTATGTATAAATGTTTTTGTCATATTGAAAATCTTTGTGTGACTTAATATTTCAAAATCAAATAAAGAGAAAAGGGTGAAGATCAAATATATTGAAAAATAAGAAAGCTGTTGCACAGAAATTTCTTTCAAAGAGCTTCCAGTCGCATTTTTATAGCACATATGAGTCCTTGCCAAGTTTACTGCTTTAATATTATATGATTAGTAATATTATTCAGACACTCAGGTTCTATTGTTCAAGTGCTGACCAGCCACAAACTGCATTTTCTTGATAGCCAGCTGGGTGTCTTCAGGGGATATCCCAAGATGCCACACTGCCCTGATGGAGTTCTCATAATGAGGGTACATGAGAACCCGGACTCCCTGCCCCAGAGCTGCCTCTTCCCCCTCCCCGACCTGACCCATGCGGGCACAGACCTCCTGGGGACTCAAGGCAGGATCCTTCATTCTGAAACGCAGGATGTTGGTCTCCACAGCCGACATGTCCACGTCAAACAGGGAGGGCTGGCAGTCGAGCAGGGCTGGCAGAAGGAAAAGCACAAATTAAATTAAGAAAAATACTTATCTATTTCAAATATGTGACATGTCAGAGGAACATTTAAATGAATTTTACTCCATGTGACAATTTCTACTCTTTCCAAATGATATGTTTAATTTATCATTATGCATTCTACAACATGCTTACTATCTACAGTATCCTGAAATAAATCCAAACATGTTTAGCAAAACAATCTAAAGCAAAAATCTTTTCCTGTTCTGTGTAATGCATTACTACGCCTGTCATAATAATACTTTTTGTTGGATAATGATTTTTCCCAAACGTTATTGTAATTAACAATATCAGACAAACTATAATTGAAATGATATAACAATGCAAGAATACATTCTCTTTTTCTTAAATACAGGATGGTGAGCCACGCACCCAGAGCAAAGGTTTTGGCATTGTGGTGATCTTCCTCAAGCCGTCCTACCATCTCCAACAAAGACAGTTTTCCAGCTGCTGCAAGGACACCGGCCTGTCGCATCCCCCCACCTAAGGCTTTGCGGCAGCGTACCGCTTTGGATATGAAGTCCCGAGGTCCGGCCAGCACGGTGCCCACCGGCGAGCCCAAACCCTGAGACAAATAAAGCCGGGCAACGTCACACAACTCCATCTCTGGGAAAAGCTACCTCACGACCCCCGAGACCCACCTTGGAGAGGCAGACGCTGACTGTGTGTGTGTGCTGCAGTATGGAGGATGGAGGCACGCCGAGGGCCACGGCGGCGTTCATCACCCTCGCTCCATCCATGTGAACCGACAAGCCGTAGTGATCTGCTAAAGCACGAGCCTAAGAGTGATCCACACGTTAGACTTGATGAAATCCCAGTTTGCTTGAGATACATAAAGAATAAATTATGCTATTTTAAGAACAAACCTTAAAGGTTACCTATTACGCTTCCTTGAACATGTTAGCATAGATTTATGGGCTTTATTCAGCATGTTCATAGCATTTTTTGCACAATATTTTATTCTGCACAGTTCTGCCTAATTTGAGCTGCTTGAAGGCCTCTTGTCACTTTAAATCTAAATAAACTGCTGCTGCCAACCCCCCCTGCCCACTCAACAGAATTATTGTGCCACTATAATTGAATAAAAAAATATATATTATTATAAAATTCACCATATAAAAGCAATCTGAATATCTGAAAGATACTTTAATTTCCATGCAAGACATGTATAAAGCCAGCATAATTAATTTACAAAGTTTCAAAACATACAAGCAGTACTATGTTTAAGTATAATTAAATCACTTCAAGTTATTAATTGGCTACAGCTCCAATTACCTATAGGTAATTTCAAACCTGAATGCTGTTTATATTAATAAAAATGGGTCTGTTCGTTTTATTTAAAGTGCAATTCAAAGCGCTCATTCAGTACAAAAAGTGTCCTTTCTAAAGTCTGGCCCTGATTACAGCGGTAGTTTCTGAATGAAAAATAAATCCACATCATTCTAAAAACCTCCAGTGAAGCCTGTGAGAGGACACACACCTCCTGCAGGAAGGGCAGAGGCAGCACTCGTCCTCCCTGGATGTTGTGCGTGTTCTCCACACATACGAGGCGTGTGCGTGGGTAATGGGGGTCGGGGTAACCGTGCCGAATCTTGGACTCCAGCTGCTGCAAGTCAAATGTCCCATCAGGACGAGTGGTCACCGTGGTGGCGTGGACGCCGGCCAGCTGTGTCAATAGGAGGACGGAGTGTCCCTTTAAAGCGCGTCGCACAACAGGAAACGTTTTCTCTGTCCTCTAAATTACTCACCTGAGCGCTTCCTCCTTGCTCGTAGATGTGCAGGTGGGAGAGGTCTCCCACAATCATCTCGTCGCCGCGCTCCCTGCAGTGCACCATCACTGCACGGAGAGACACACGTTTACACATCCGTCTTTGCTCCATCCTGCGAATGAATGTTTACCTGCGATGAGATTACTCATGGTTCCCGAGGGGACGAACAGGGAGGCCTCCATCCCAAACATTTCTGCTGCAAGTTTCTGCAACTCTGCAGAAATCAGAAAAGTTCAGGGGGAAAAAAAAATCCAGTCTCAGTTCTTATTAGGGACAAAATAGCAAAAATGTCTGTATTTAGTTCAGGTAAGCTAAATGTAAAGCTCTAACTCGTAAACTCAGTAAATCATTAGGTCCTGTCAATCAGCTTCTTAGAAAGTTAAGTAAAATACTTATTCAGTGCTTTAATAAACTATTCTACACTTACAAATACAGTTTTTTCTCAATTCCCCTACACATTTTTCACATTTTGTCACTTCAAAGCTACAAACTTCAATTTATCTTATTAGGATTTTATGTGACAGGCCAACAAAAAGTAGCACATACATGAAAATATAATACATATGGAAAATATGGCGCTTATTTATATTCAAACCCCCCATACTCTGATCGCCACAAATAAAATAAAGTTGTTTGACATAAATTTAGGAGAAACAACATAATGAAGACCAGCAACAAGACAGATTGGGGAGGGTCATGTCATAAAACATGCATCCCTACATGTCATATGTGGGGATTTATTGTTATTACATTATCAATATTGCGAAGAAAAGCTTGGACTATAGAAAATCAATGTGATGAATTCAGGCTCTCTGTGCTAGGAATATATTTGGTTGTTGGTAAAGCAGCAAAAAGAAAAGCTTTAGAGTCAAGGTGGTACATTTATTTTAAAACTACATGCAATGATCCTGAAGCAGAAATAAACAACCACTTGTGAGCTCAGTAATTGTTTATCTATCGCAAGTCTTTCATGTTTACCAATATTATCACTTCTTGCAGGTTTTCCTAATATTATGCAGCCCTAATCAAAGCTCTATTTAATGCGCCATCAGAAAATCGTAAGGACAAATGTAGCAAAAAGCTCCACAGGAGCTACAGAGATCCAGAACTCAGGTTTGTTGTTCTCTTTACACATCTCTCCTGTTAGCACTTCACCACAGGAAACAGGAGGAGGAAATTCATTCAAAGAGTTAAGTGTGGAGGGTAAGCAGGATGGTGGCAGCATCATGCTGTGGGGATGCGTTTCTTAAGCAAGGAAAGAAAACTTTTCAATTAAGTGCAACCATGTGTTGGTCTATGACGTAAAACTACTGTCTGGATCCTTTGGTTGGAATAATACTAAATAATAATATTTGTTTTGATCAACTTCCTCCCCGTTTAGTCCATCTTTAGCCTCTTCTGCACTCTCACCGTTCACTGTCGGATCCTCCCCCATCACATCGTCTCCGACCTCAGCCTGCGCCATGGCCTGGCGCATCGCCGGCCCCGGCTTGGTCACCGTGTCGCTGCGGAGATCCACCACCCGGACGTGAGCCGCCTGGCCGGGTCCGGGACTCCCAGGTCTCCCGGCGTTATAGTAGCTCCGCTTGGGAAGTCCAAGAGCCGCATATTGCGCACTGAGCGGCTTCCGGCGAGGAAACGAAGCCAAGGCTCTGCAGGAATATGCTTTCAGAAACATGATGCTCCTGTTTTAGTCATCTTCTCTGCAGGTGTTTACACGTTGAACTTTGAATCGGTGGTTTGGATCGATAATCATTGACTAACGGCTGCAGGGGAGACAAATAGATTACCAATCGACACGTCCAGATGTATTGAACCGGATTGGCCTCGAGGGGGCGCCAAAATCCCAAAGTTGACCGACATGTTTAATTCTTTATTTTGTAGATGGTTCATCAAAACTATCAATGTGAAACTGTACAGAGAATAAAGAAACCCAACTTATACAGGTGAACACAAACTAGTCTATGATCATGGTTTAACTTTTGAATGTTAAAAATAAAACAAATCAGGACTGGATTACTCTACACTAAATATTTATTCTTCAAAAAAACACATGATGATTAGGTATGTGGTGACTTCATTAGATTAATTAGAGGTATTTATTGAAATAAAAACAGTTTTTTAAAGAATTGTTTATGAATTAAAGTCAGTCTCTCACCAAAAAACTGACATTCAGCCATTATTGACTATAAATAGTCATAAACATTTTAATTCATTTATCTGAAGCCAGATAAATGCAGAAAATGGAATTAATCAGATTTATATGTATATATAAATATTCTGTTTATAAGGCTAGATTGGAAAAGTAATTGAAACAAAATAAAATTAACAAAGATATACATGGCAGGAAATGCATAAAAAATACAAATTAATTACCATTATTATTATTGTTTTTAATATTGTAAAGGGAGTGCATAATGTGAAATAAAATGTTCACATAACATATCCTTCAGACTAGCATCAGTTAGCAAAAACCTGGTGGAACTACTCTAATAATAGGAACTACTTGTTAGTGCAACAATTGTAAGAATGGTTATAAACAGCTTAATGGAGAAACACTGCTGTGGTGACATGTTGAAGTGTCAGAAAGAGCAGGAGCTTCTTAAAGAGACAGAGGACAAATTTTAAAACATTAAATTGCATAGAAGGAATTTTTTAAATTCATGTTTGATTCATATACAGCATTTTCATAACAACTTGATGTTGCCTAGAAAATACATGATAATGTCCCGTTAAGTAAATAGCAATAGTTGAAAGGAATCAATTTTTGCAAAACATCACTTTTGTGGATTTAATTTAAATCTGTATTATCTGTGTACATGTAAATCCACTCATGTAATATCAACACACACACATTTATGTACCTTAAATCTGCGGGGTTTGGGGGGGGTCACACTCTTATCCTTGTGTCAATCTGCAAAGCTGTTTCTGACTGATCCCACAACCACCACATTTCAAACCCCCAGTTTAACACAAACATGGCATGATGAAGCTATGAGCTGAGGTCCAAACCAAACTGGTTATTTCTGGCATGATTCTGTATTTTTTCTGGGAAATAAAGCCCCTTCGTCCCTAAATTTATTGTGGGAATGCTGCCACTATGTAGTGAGGGAGAGATAGGCAGTGAGGAAGGCACTCTTGATACAAAACAACCCCTCCTCTCCCCCTGACACCCTTCTTTCGTCCATACTAATGCTACAGCTGCATTCACATTACAGGCACGATCGCCCTCCCTTCCTCCCTTCCTTGCACACATTTCCCTCTCGCATGCATGCTCTTGCTGTCCAAGCCGATTTTCATCACCCGATAAAAGTCCCAGTGTGTGTTATCAGGGTTGCCCCACACTGTAGTTAAAGTTGATATTGGCAGAAGGAGAGCCAGGTTTTATGATCCATAACAAGTCGTCATTAAGAGTCATTAGCAAACATCAGCTATTGTAAATTGGCCACAGTTGGTCTCAAGAGGGACACAAGAGCTGTGAACAAGGGAGAGATACAGATGCATCAGTACGCAGGGCAGAGCAGCGATGGAAGTGTGATAAAATGAGGAAAAAGATGGGAGACAATTGTCCCAAGTAAAGTTTTTACAGGACTGGTGCTGAGGTTGCACTCTGTGACCTCGCTTTTTTTTTGTGTGTTGTTTCTCTCTCAGATGCCTTCCTTCCAACATTTCCCCCCTCATATATGCGCTAGAAAGGGAGAGTGGTGTTTTGGAGAAAATATTGAATTAGAGAAAAAAAAAAAAAAACGAGCACGGAGGGAGAAATGAAGGAGAGGGAGAAATATTGACTCCTTCTGGGAAGGAGCGAGATGGCAACGCCTTTCCAATAACCATAAACCCACTGGGCTGAAAATAGATGAGCAGAATGAATAAACGAATGTGTTCATCCCACACGAGCTCTTCCCTTTCGCAGAGAGAGGGATGTGGAGGTGACACTCTCTTCTCCTCACCTTCTTTTCTCTCTCCTCTTTCCCTGAGGCCATCATTTTTTCACCATGACAAGAGATATTAACCGGAACAAAACAGGTGTTTATGGGAAGCCTTCCCTCAAATGATTTTTTTTTTTTTAAACACACAGAAAGTCTCATCTGTTTAGCTGAAAGGTGTCGACATCAGTGCTCGCAACAAAAAGGGTGACATCTGTTTCACATTTCAACCCCCCTTCATTTATCATGAGCCTTCTGGATGTGTTTGACTTTGCACACTTGTGTGGTTATTTTCTGCAAGTACATTCAGTGACATAATGCATTATCTGTCTTTTATTGTTGTTCTGGAATACATGGCCTATGCTACCTTGTATTCAGATATGTGGCTCACAAATGTCTAATTTCCATTATTGAAAAAGAGAAATATGTAAAGCAATGTAAAAAAAAAAAAAAAAAAAGAAGAAAAACAGGCTATGTCCATCCAAATCAGATGTGGTGGTACATTTTCCAGCTTAGATTAAGGTTCATAAATTTTTTATCCAGTGAGAAGAAGGAAGTTTGGCAAAATGTTGTGACTTGGAGACCAGACAAACCAGTACCCTAAAGAAAACCAAAAAGCACTACTGATAATTCAGCACAGAGGCAGTGGGCAGCACAAGTCACTAATGCTAAAGTGCTAATTTCTACAGATGGGTGGATTAGTCCAAAATGTCGACAATATTGATATTAAGTTGTATCAGATCAATATTAGGCTGATAAGACCAATACTTTGTGATTCTCTCCTGAAATGTTGTTTATTTTTGTTGTAATTTCTCAACTCTACCTTAAATATTGTTTCAGTTTGATATCAAATTATCATTTTTTCCATTTTATCTATTTAGAAAAAAAATCACACAAATCATGTTAATACACGATCAAAGTATTTTGTAGACACCTCTAAATTTTTTTTCCAAACACCTGAAAGTCAGAAATTTGATGATGTAACAGCCTAAGATAAAAAGTACTGCTGTCAGTGTTAGTATCAGCAATGGTACTGAACCAGTGTCACAACATGCAGAATCACACACACTGACTTCAACTAGATTGATCAACGTGTCAATAACATTTTCAACATTACCGTCCTCAGGCTCAAGTTTGGTATTGAGTGGTTCCACTGCTATTGGTGATTTTGTCTAATTGACCACAGCAGAATTTTGGTCATAAGGCATGTAAGACATCAGTATATTTTAAACTGTTTCTATAGAACTACAGCACGAGTCAATCTGGGTGCAGAATAAATGTCAGTTGCTCCACAACTGCATGGGTGGAGAATGTGAAGGTTACCAGCAAGAAGGTTTTCAAAGCAATTTATGTAAAAGAAAAAAGACAACTGGAGGCGCATTAACGAAACTGTAAACCGTAAAGAGTCTTCTCCGCTTCAAAATAATGGCATAAATATAAATGTATAATCACTTGAAGAATTCTCAACAACAAAACTTTTACATAAATGTCAACCTTTATTCAACTGAAAGCTTTCAAAATACCCAAGTAAATTAGGACATCAGAATTTACCCAGGAAAAATTAATCATGGGGTTAGCTAGATGTGCTAAACATTTTCAAAGTTAGCAAAAACGGTAAATTAAAAATTTGTTTGCTATTAGCAGATTAGCAGAAGTGTGCCAACCACTGCACAGAGGTAAAAAAAAAACCATAAAACAGAAAGATGTAGTTTCTGTTTTGGTTTTGAGTAATAATCTCAAGAATCCCATTACTTCAGACGACCAAACCACGTATTGGTTGTTCAAGTATAATTTGTTCTACAAATTGAGTTTGTTTTAGTGGTTTGAATTTAACAACTTTATAATAATGTAAACTGTGTTCTGAGGACTCCATCTGTCATGCCATTCAAGCTTTAAATATCTGTCACTCTGCAGATTACTTTCCTTCCACAATAAGTTAGTTGGCCCTTAAAAACATAATTTTAAGCTAACATGGTTGTTTAATAGGAAGTTGAAATGCTGATGCATAGCCAGACTCCAGCTGCAGTTAAATGTTCTCTTTCCTCATTTGGCTCACTGGAAAAATGAGTCACAGCTGAAGCTAATTATATTGGGTAAACATGCAAGAGGATCGTTTGGAGAGAGAGGTTGATTTCATATCATCAGCAGATGTTACATAGAAAACTAAAAACACTGTAAAAATACAACATTTTGTTACCTGATGAACTTTATGCTCACAAACAACACCTGGAATCATCTTAATGGGCCAGCTGTTGACTCTACTTGAGCCAAAGCAAGAGCTGTGTTTTCTTCAGTCCTCCTTCTTTTATTATTAATACAATTGTTTCAGAGTGGAAAAAAAATGGCCGCTATCAAAAAAGTGATGGGTAAAACCAAATACAAATAAACTGTCTTCCCCACATTTTCTGCATGGATGATATTTGTAGCAGAAGTATATCCTACATCCTTTTTCTGTCTGCTATACTTCCAGTCTCTGTTTGGTTAGCCAAAGAGCCCCACTATTTAAGTTTCATTAAAATTTTTCAAAGTGAATGTAATAGCGTTTATTAAAAAGTTGAAATGTCCTAAATAGAGAGAGACATTCAGTAAAGACATGAGTAACTATTTTTATAATCTAGGGCTGGACAACATGGCTAAAAAAGCAAATCACCATATAAGCGTCTCATATGATCAATAGTTATTGATTAGTTTTTTGTTTTAAATATCTGAGATATGGCTGAACTTTCCTGTTTTATCCACAGTTTGTGCTCCATGCCGATGTTTTTACTTCGGCATGGAGTAAAAACATGCTGAAAAATTTCAGAACCACTGAAA